TCGTTGTTTTTGGCAATATTCCAGCCTACTCCTACGTATTCTGATAAATCAATCTGACCCTTTTTCAAAGATTAGGAAATTCAAATGATGTTTTGGTCCGGACAAACTCTAGGCAGCAACCCTGTGGTTTTAATATTTGCAGCAGTTCAGCAAGAATGGAACAAGTTGAAACGCTTTTCTAAAAGTATGAAGATTAGAAAAAACAAAACAAAACAAAACTGAGAACAGAGGCAAATTTTAAAAATAAATTCATGTCAAAATTTTGATTCTCAGTAAATTTAAACAGAGTTTTAGATAGATATATAGATAGATAGATATAAGTAAAATATAAATATCATTTTATTAAAGTAAAACGCACGAAATGAGTTGAGTTCAACATATACATTAAGGGTGCACAAAGGTTTTCAGCAATAAATATTGACTGATTGATTCGTTTTTTTTGGCTTATCAAAGTACTGCAGATTATTTAAAGCCATTATTTAAACCTAGTATTTTTTAGATTGTATCATTCTTTTAGACGGTATCATTTTTTTAGATAATATTTTTGAGATACAAGACTTACTAATTAACCCATAGCTGGGGGAGAAGGTGGTATTTGATTATAACTCAGGTGTCTAGAGATGAGAAAAAGAAAGGAAAGGACAAAAAATGAAAAAGGAGTATGAATGGAGAAAAAAGAAAAAAATGAAGAAAAGGGAAAAAAGGGAAAGAAGAAAGAGTAAGAGAATGAGCAGGAAGAACAAAGGTGAAGAAGATATAAAAAAAAGGACATAAGCAAATGAATGCCACTCACTTAAGTGCCATACGTGATACTCGATTGGGCGATCATGTCACTTTTGATTTATGACAGACTATGAAGAAGACTTTCCCGCAATAGGTTGCCATTTCATTCTGCGGTAGACTAGCTACCTATCAAAGCTATAGGACCCAGTCGGTCCGGATAGTTAACCCATAGCTAGAGGTGTAACGAGATGAATCCATACCTTTATCAAGTGAATTTACGCGTAAGTGAATGTAACGAACCGGTTGGAAATCGAACTCGGCTCTCTGATTTCACATCCCTGAACGTGATAATTTATATATATATATATATATATATATATATATATATATATATATATATATATATATATATATATATATATATATATATATATATATATATATATATATATAATTAATACATAACAAAATTCAAAATTACCTCATATCGGCTGGAAATCGAGCTTTCCGATTTTCACATCCCTGAACCTTGTAATTATATATATATACATATATATACATAATTAATACACAATAAAATCCAAAATATTAATAAGTATTAATTTTTATTCTGTAATAATAAATACATTGAGCCTTTTTTGTGGACCAGTTCTAATATTTTATATTACTAGGATCCACTTGGATTATATTCCAACGGATTCATTACCTTTACTATATATATATATATATATATATATATATATATATATATATATATATAATTAAATATAACAGACACAATGAATGTCTATTATGTCTGATCATGAGTCGTTCCAATGTTCAAATGTTTGCTTTAATTTCGGGTGAAAATAAAGACAAAAATTGTGCAACATTTGGATGTTTTATTAAGTTGGTCTTAAGCATTCGGCTCACATGAGCCATCCTCAGATTGGTTATACAGATGAAGATATTATAAAGAAGGTTCTATGACGTCATGCCGCGCAATATACCGAAGTATTACAACAGAACCAATGTCTAGATGCAGTGTATTGTATTGTGACTAGTTTGAAATGTAACTTTGTTGAATGTGGCTTGCTTTGTTTTAATGTAGATCGCCTCCAATATCTGAATGTTCTTTGTTACTATGTGTATGTGTGAATTATATTGAGTTATCAACTAATATCTGTCTAATATTATGCACATGTTTATGTACATAATATTTTATGTTTTATATTTTATATTTTGACAATATATATATATATATATATATATATATATATAATTGTATGTATGTATTCAAGCATTTTTAGTTGAATAATCTGGGTATATTATGTCTATTTTTATTTTGATCCTCTCGAATTCTTGGATCGACTTCTTAATATTGATATTACCCCCCCCCGCCTAAATAAAACCTAACAACTTAACAGTTAATCTTTAAATTAATTATAACGGAGCGCGTTCGTACGTATT